TTTTTTGTGTAAAATTAGGTGCCTCGGCTTATATTCGGGTCGACTTATACTCGAGTATATACAGTAGTTTTATCTTTAGGACATGAACTTTGTCAGGCTCAAAAAGTTCTGAATGGTAAAACTTTAAACATATTACCTATTGACACTTCCATGCCTGGGGTCATTTTTCTATTTTCATGGGAATGGAACTACATTTTTCTTTGTTCTGAGAAAACAGTGACTTTAAAAGCAAAAGGAAATCAACTTTATTTCATTCAATACTTGGTATGATAAAGAGAAACCACAGGTATTATATGACCCATAGTAACCAATTAATTTTAAAATGGAAAAATGTTCTCAATAGCAATTACAGATAATTCAAGTTGACATCCATTTTAACAGCAGAATGACTGCAATCTCTGTTTTTCCCCTCAGAATGGTTGAAGTCCAAAGATACCAGTTAATAATATATATATAGATATATAAATTGCTTTATGGGTTAATTAGTAAACAGTTCTGAAATTCTACTTAATCAGACTTTTTTTTTAAATATAGGCTAGTTATCAGAAGCAATATAACAGTGGAATGCTAAACCAAGATGCTGCACAAATATTGATAGGTGCAGCAGAAAGCTATGTTGATATTAAAGGAAAGTAAGTGCTTAACAATTAATAAAAATAATGCACACGCAGCTATTGTAATTCAATATTTTCAATGAGGAGTAGATACTATAATATATTGACACTATTGTAATTACTTTTATTGACATGTATAAAATGTTATAATTGTATTTATTTTTTTGTTTATTTTATTTAATAAAATTTATATGGCTGCCCAACTCACTCATTGGCTCTGGGCAGCTGACAAAGATAAAAACCCAATATAAAAAACAATGACACCCCATTCTCCTGGCAGATGTACACTTTTTTAAAAAAATGCAATTTACATGTAACAAAAATATATAAACAGCTGTATAAAATACCATAAAGTGAAATGAAGCGAGAGTTACGACTGACGCTAGTTACAACCATGATAGACAGAGTCCTACATGTGTAAGAATTCCTGGATGAAATCCATTCATATACTAAACAGACCTGGTTCCAAGACCAATCTTGAAGGGCCAATAAAATGAAGCTCAATTCCTGATATATTTTTATTCACAGCTTGGAAGTTCAGCAGTGTTTATGAAAGGATTGTAATATTTATCTCTTTGGCAGTAAATAGAAAGCAAGCTGCACAAAACTAGAAAGCTATTTTGTTCAAAGATTTGAAATAAATAGAATCAAAAGTCAGAAGATCAAATCCTGGAGGGGAAAGGGCAATTTGTAACTAGTTAAATCTTCTGGAAGGCAATGATACTTACAAGAAAATGAATTTTTAGTAAGCTAAACTTCAAGGAAGATAACAACTCAAATAAATTATTAAGAAAAGAACATCAATTTAAGACATAAAGTAGCATGTTTCAGAACCAAAAGAAATGGCAAATCAAATTTATTAAAAGTATTAAATCAGATTATGGAGAGAAATTAAAAAAAACTTTTTTAAAGTGGAAATATTTAAAACTTACATTTTATTAAATTTAAGATCACTAACAAACTATATTATCGACATTGCCAACAATATCAGACTGGGAAACCACACTCGTAGAATATATGCAACAATAGTAAAATTAACAGTATATATTCATAACAGAAATTTGACTAAATTTAAGTAAGATTGTTTTCTGATATACAGTCATTCTCATAATAAGGCAAACTCAGAAACCTAACAGTATAGTTTTCAAGGGGAAAATAATTGATTCAAAGACAGTAACTAGAAACAGTTGAGAAATACAATATATTTATGTTATATCAGTCACGTACAATAGGAAGGAATTTAAAATGTGTTTTTCCCAATAAGTATTTTTACTAATTATTCTTTAGCTTTTTCCTTATTTTTTTGTTTTCCCTTTTTTTCTTTTACATTATTATGTGCATTCACAATGGTGTTAAAACTTTGTAAACTCTTGCATTTTCAGTACTTTTGCATAAAAATGACCTGAAATGTTATATTTTCTCCACACATCCTAGAACTAGATTTAAGAAAAAACAACTATACAAGTAAAAAATATTGTACTTGTTCATCTATTTATTGAGAAAAATAATCCAAAGCAACATACAGGTAGTTCCCTGTTTACTATCACAACTGGAACCAGAACTTTTGTTGCTAAGTGATGCAGTCATTCAATTTTACAACTATTTTTGGCACAATTGTTAAGCTAGTCACTATATAGTTGTTAAGCAAATCTGGATTCACCCATTGACTTTTCTTGGAAGCCCTCTGGGAAAGTCACAAATGTCAATCACATGACCCTGGGATCCTGCAATGATCATAAATGCATACTGGTTGCCAAGTATCTGAATTTTGATCATGTGACAGGATGTTACAACAGTCATAAGTGTGTAAACCACAAATAAGTCACTTTTTAACAATGTTAACATTGAATAGTTGTTAAATGAATGGTCATAATTTGAGTATTATCTGTATTTGGTAAAAGTATTGAGAATTCTCTTGTATTCACTTTTTATCTTTAAAACAGAAATATATGTTTTTATTATTCCAGGTTTATGAATATTCATGAAGTAAAAAGTTATTGGGAAAGCAAAGGTGTATTGGTCACAATTAAGAACTGGCTAACTGAATGGGTTCACTTTGTGAAAGAGGAAAGTTATAAGCCATCAAGGTTAGTATACATTAATAGATATCAAAATATGTATGATGGGAAATATTAACATTTTACAGTATATAAGGAAGGTGATATATGCACTATTATAATCTAGCCTTAATAATTGGAATACTGAATAACTAGTAATTAAGAATTACTGAGCCCAAGTACCCGTATTTATTGGAAATTAGCTTTCATTCCAATTCAGCAAGCTCTAGTCCTGAAATAGCAATCAATGTTGTTGAATGCAGAAAAAAGGAACTGTAACAAATGATTCAAATTGGAAACTCGATATCAGAAAGGCTAGTACAGACTGGTAATCAGTTTCTAAGACAGATTTATGAGAAAGAATGTGGAAAATTCTCAAAGTTAAGTTGCTCAGAAAATTGTGACAATCATGATCAGTTAGCAGTCTGTTTATGAATTATCATTTGGATGGGTCCATTGAGACACTTAGTTTACTTGCAAACTGGGGGAAAAGATTATTTAGTCTCAAGGGAATTTGGCTGCTGAATATCTTTTTTTAAATATAAAGACAAATATAGAGAGATATAAAGAGAAAGAAGAAAAAGTGCAGAGAAAAGTACAGTTAATGAAAGAAAAATAATAATTAAAGACACAACTTCCAACTTTTACAGCAGTTACGAAGTCATTATTTTTCCTCTTTAATATTACAAAATATTCAGCCCCTTATTCAATGCTTTTGCAATAATCAAATTCAGAAATCACCATTTTTACTTTTTTTCTTATTATCAGCAAAAAGTTTTCATAAAAGTTTTCCAGTCTTTTATAAAAAATATCGTAAATCGAGAACTATCTATAATCTGAAAAAGATTATCATAATAACTCCAGTTTGTTTGTAGAAATACTATACTTGATTTCTCTTCAGATCATATACATTTTTCATATTGGAAATACTTAGAAATATCTATTTTTGAGAAAGTGTTATGTCTTTCAAAAAAGAACATATATTCCTTGGAATCACCATTTTATACCTCCATATATTTATGATCCCTCAACATCCTTCAAAAATATTTTGGGCAATTTACCTCATGTTGATTTAATTCCTTTGACAGAAATTCTATCTTTTTGCGGGCAAAGCACTCCATTCCATTATTTTTTTGTTGTGGTAATTTGAGTTATCTATTTGGCATCTGTAACTGTTCATAAAATCACAGAGTTGGATTCTTGTTGAATTACTCTTTCAGAGCAAGGTTCTCGGATAATGCTGATCACTGTCCATATATGGTATCAAGAAATGAAAAGTAATAGATGTTTAAATGACTTATTAATTGCACCTTTTTTCCCTTTACAGACACAGGTTTATGAGAACATGCTACCAATTAGTGATAATGGAGGAATTTGAATATATATGTTGCATAGTAACCCTTTTGAACTGTTTTCCAATTTCTCTTTACTTCATACTTACTACCGATACACCATTTTTTCCACAACTAAAATTGTGCAACTATTATTTTCTGATTTTGTACATGCTGGAAGCTATACTGAAGGTACAAACTACATAAATTAATGATATATTTCTTATTAATAATGTAAATAAACATGCCTGCTATGCTCAATAACCTGAATATGCATTTTTTATTATTTGCAGGTTAGAAATGTAAATATGTTATTCAAAAATATGAATTGAAGCCCTAGAGATTTTTATAAATATAAAATATCGTGCTATCACTTCTTCAGTGTTTTTGTAGTAATTGCTTTTCTAAACTTAATATTTTGCCTTTTGCTGAACTTTTAATTCAAGCATCATGTGTGATCTTACAAGGGTGATAATATAGCCATATGTTACAATATGTTTTCTATATGTTTCAAGAACAAGGAAAATAAAATGGTAAGCTGGAAATATGAAAGAACCATTAACCAGCCAAGAGAAATTGAAAGGCCAGATCAGGAAATCAGCTACAATGGAAAGCTAAACTATTTTTATTAAGATATATAATAATATAATTTTCTATTTTATGGCTTGAGGTTCACATGTTGCCAGTCCATCACCAATAATCACATAATTCAATAATTTACTATTGTGACCACAGGCCATAACAACATGACATAACAGAAAAGAAGAATGAAATTGATCAACAATAAAATTGTAATCAGCAGTAAAGAAAGCATACAAGATAAATAAAAACCAACCAATACTACAATTGGGGGCTTAAAATTTCATTTCAAAATTTAAAAAAGGCATGGCAAAGGTAGTTGACCTTATTGTTAATAATTGCAATTGTGCCTGGTGAGAAGGTAATTTGATTGTTTAATATCCTGCACCATACATTTGTCATTAGCATTTTCCTTTCGATTTTATCTTAGGGCAGTAGAGGACATATTTATTAATCTTGTCTACTTGGTTGGCACTACAGGGGCACAGGTACTCTCCATTGGACATGTAAAAAACTTCCCTTAAAAATAATAAAAAGGCATTATCTAAGTAAACAGATGTAAAGGGAGTCCTTGGCTTATGTCTATTTGTATGGGAATTGTTCAAATTACTAAAAAAAAATGGATATATAATTGGTCTGTGAAATTCATGTGATCATGTGAACACTATCAGGGTGTCCACCAGAGGTGTTATTCGGCAGATTCTGACCAGTTCTGGAGAACTGGTAGCGGAAATTTTGAGTAGTTCGGAGAACCAGCAAATTCCACCTCTGACTGAAGATTTTACAGTATCCTTCCCCTGCCACGTCCACCAAGTCACGCCCACAGAACCGGTAGTAAAAAATATTGAATCCCACCACTGGTGTCCACCTCATGATTTGAGTTGTCATGATTGAGGTGTTTCCTGCCGACTTTCCACAAGCAAGCTCAATGAAAAAGCTAGGAGGGAAGGTTCCAAGTTGCTGTATCCTTCCCCCCCGCCATGCACAACTGTCACTGACCCTCCCAGGCTTTCTCTAGCCACCTGTAGCTCAGTGTGGCATGGGCCAACCCCACCCAGTTTCTCCCCAAGCCTCCCTTGACTGCATGTGACCAGAACTCAGGCCTTCCCTGTGTCCCAGCCTTGGCATCTACCTGTTCTTTCCCTGGGATTTCTGCCTTTTCCCATAATGATCTTGGGATTACAACAGCTATCTCATTCATAATGAACCATTGGTTTGCTTAACTACCATCATGTTAGCTTAATGACCATGGTGATTCACTTAATGACTACTGTGAAAAGTTATACAATCAGGTCGGTCATATGAGTGACCCAATTTATGACCATCCTGAGTTATGGCTCTGATGGGCAGGCTCCATCACAATTGTAACTCAAAGACTTTCTGTACAATTAACTGAGTTTAATGATGAGATTTTGGGAAGCTTTCTAATTTTTTGTTCCTTAACACTGCAAGGTGAATTCTAACAGAGATTGAGGATAGGCCTACTTTCATTCAAAGATAGGTAGCAGGAGTACCATAAGGAAGGCACAGAATCTTCCTTAGAACTAAGCTGGCACAAAGCTGCATTAGGGGAACAGAAGAGGGCATTGGTCAATTCAGAAATTATGACCTGAAGATCTGGCCTTTGATAGGGATGACTAGAGCCTCCTTTTAACTTAGATTGCTTTCATTTGCTTCCATTCAGTATTCTGTCCTCTCTATCCTTTTTCCTCCTTTTTTCTTGTCATGTTTCTCATGCTTTAAATCATTTGTAAACTCCCCAGAGTTGCTGGAAGTCAGGCAGCACATAAATTTAATAGATAATAATTTGTGGGTTATATAGTGAAGCAGGAGCCCATGCTTAGAAATGGAAAATTGTAAATGTTCTGGCATCCTACTGTTATAGCATTTACGTGATAATTTTTATTATACAGTAACTTCAAGTATAAATATATAACTTAAAATGAGTCTCATGATATTTACATTTAATGTCTGTCTATCTAGTACCATTGTATTGTTTTTAACAGATGTCTGCACTGGGAAGGAACTATTTCCGTCATCATTGGAACCAGTTTGATGTACTAATAATAATCATTGGAATTATAGATGTTGTAATTATCAATATCATTAAATCAATTAGTCCAACATATGCCATTATTTACACTATCAGGATATTACGGTTTCTTCGTGTTGTAAGAGTTCTGCGTCTCTTAAAGGTAAATATGATGTTATTGTTGAAAAATTGAGGTGTTCATTTGTTTCAGAATTTTTTAAAAAAGAAAATATTACAAATATTAAAATATTAAATCCATTTAGTCCATTGTTTGTTTATGCTTATTGACTATAAGCATTGGATTGTTTGACTGTTCAATTAAATTCATTTAAAGTGTTTTCTGCTAATTTGGGAATGCAGAGCAAATACTTATGGAATCCATAAGTTGGGAAGGTTCGATGTATTCGATTTTATTCACAGAACATGAAAAGGCACTGAATAAGCTTCTCAACAGTCTGTCTTTCCCTTTATTATAAGCTTCATGACAACAATCTCCACAAAAAGATAGTATCATCTATTCATATCTCTTGAGTATTGGTGAAAGTTTGAATCTGAAATGATATAAAGACATTTGTTTTCTGCTTTGGTTTATCAATTGGGTGTTAGTTTTTGGGAGGCATATTATACAGTATTGGAATATTGTCATCACTCATTTTGTGATAGCCAACTAGTTTGGTTAGTGACATTTTATACTTTCCTACTAATGAATAATACAAAAAAGCAAAAGTGGTTATTTCATGAGATGTGTCTGCATTTCTTAGTAAGGGGAAAAAGTAGATTTAAATCAAGTGTAATCATATTTTGAAAGCCACATTCATATATTACATTTTTACTTTAGGAATCTCCTTAAGAGAATATTTTCCACGTCTAGGTTTTTTTTTGCTTTCTCTTGCATTTATGTGCTGAATGTTTTTCTTCTTATGGGCAGACAATATTAGAATTCAATTTTGCCTGTACTATTTTTTTTCTATAAATTTACTGACTAATAGGAGCAATAAATGTAGAGGCAATTACAGGGATTCTGCATATTTTTCTTATCCTGTTGTCTAAAAGATTTAGTTTGCATTTTTCTACATATAAAAACCTGTTGGTTAAATTAGTATTTTTAGAGCTTTCACCATTTCCTTTCTATCTCACTTCAATTCTATTTGTCATCTGAAACTGATTTATGTGTTTCAGTATTTACCTGACTGTCTATTTGTCCATAGTGGAAGAAAGCACATCGTATGCTTTTGCTATATCCATGTTATTTCCTGAAGAAGTGTGTTTCATATTTTTTTACTCAAGTACTAATCTTAAGAATGCTACCTCACAAATGTTTAAATTTTATTTTAGAATATTTTCCATGCATTTGTTCTGCTGCATAAAGCTGTCTGCTCTCCAATACTTATTTATTTTATTGTACTTAATGATAGTTCCAAACAGTGAAATAGAATAGTTAAAGAGAATTGTCTAGAAAGAGAAAAAACCATGGGCTGGTTTTTTTTTCTAAATTGAAAAAGGACAAGATTTTTATATACCGTATTTGCCGGCGTATAAGACGACTTTTTTGCCCCGAAAAACATGCCTCCAAGTGGGGGGGTCGTCTTATACGCCGGTATATCCACTGCCGGCTTTCGGAGGCTTGTTGGACGCAGCGAAGGCGCCTCTGGCTTCCTGGATCCCCTGCGTCGCTTCCGCTTCATCCCGCTCGCCTCGCTCCGCCCGAGGCTGCAGCCTTACTGCTCTTCCCACGGCCCCTGGCACTCTGCCCTGCCGCTGCAGCCCCGGGGATTTCTGGAGGGCGTTTCCGGTGGTGGTGGGGGGTCGTCTTATACGCCGGGTCGTCTTATACGCCGGCAAATACGGTAAGTTTTTTTTAAAATTAAATACATTGGATTACAAGGAATTTCATGGAATTACATGTCTCATAGCATGATTCTTGTCAGGTTGAGTAACCCAAAGCAGAATAGATCCAGTTCCTGTTACATTAAACCATTTCTTTGTATTTAAAACTTTTTTTTTAGCGGCACCTACTCATTTTTGGCAAACCCATTCTATACTACAAATTTATCAGAACCTCTCTTTTGAATATTCCCAATTTCACTTCATGTAAGTGCACACGTTTTCCTTCATAGTCATTCATCAGAACTCTACAAACCAATTTGCTCCATAATTTTATTCACCAATGCCCTTCCTTATAATCACTCTGTAACCTTCTCAAAACATTCTCAAGCACCCAGAGCTAAAAGCAAGGAACTGTTAAAAGATAATGCAAAAATCAAAGACTGATCATGAAAATCATATGAGACTCAACAGTGTTCTTTATAAAAAATGTATTGGGTGGTTGCAAGCCAAATGCAACTTCATTTATTTCATCAGCTTCACTTCTGATTAATCAAGGCATAAGGCAAAGTGATAATTATGACTTAAAATGCCCAATGTAATTTGATACCAACAGTGTTTCCAGAAGAGGCATTTACTGCATTGCCTCATTAAATTTAACTGATGATGTTCAGATAGCATTATTTTTTATTTGTGTATTCTATGTTTCCTTTTTTTCTCAACCGAAAACATATAATAGTAGAAAGATATAGAAATAAGAAAGTTAGGTTGAAAAAAATGAATAGATGCAGAAAGCATGGGGAGTTAGAAAAATTGTGGCAATTTGAAGAAAGCAATAGGGAAATCAGGAAAGAACAGGCAAGCTGAGGAAATTAGTCTTACTGTGAAGAAAGCAGATAAAGTAACGTTGGAAGTTGGGAAGGTGAAACAGAAAATTAATAGAAATATACGTTTTATGGTGGAGCAAAATAAGGAATGCAGGTGGACAAAGAAGTCACAAAAGGGTGTAGAAAAAATATTGATTTTTAGTATATTATCTATTTCAGATAATGATACCCAAAATGATTTTCTTGTTGAATAAACAAATAAACAAACAGCTCACTTTTCGGTATGATATTGCTAAAGGATATGTTCAAGGTGAAGAAGATGTAAAATGTTTAATTGGACAGATTGCTGGCCATGAGAAAGTTTATGTTGTGAGTAAAATAGCCATATATATAAAGAGAAGTGTATTTGTCATATCCTTTATTTACGTTCTACAAATTATTATTTTGAAAATATATTTAGATCACAAAAATACTGTTATCTGGTGCATTGTTGTAACATAATATATATGAATACACAAACCAAAAGTTAAAATGACCAAGAATATGGAACTGAAACTTTAAAAAGCAGTTTGGTTTCATTTTGTTATTGATAAACTCTACAGACTGATTCTGTTTTCCATCAGAGAGGCACTGTCTGGTGTTCCTGTTTAGGGGCAAGAAAATGCTTATCTTCCAATTACCGTATATACTCGAGTATAAGCCGAGTTTTTCAGCCCATTTTTTGTGCTGAAAAAATCCCCCTCGGCTTATACTCGAGTCAGGTTCCCCTCTGAAAAAAAAATGGTGTGGAGTCGCTGCCGCCGGCGCGGGCCCAGTCCCGCCGCCTCAGGAAGGGAAAGGCAAAGCGCTTTTTGCCTTTCCCTTCCCGGCTGGGGCTGTTAGGAGTCGCTGCCGCCGGTGCGGCCCCAGTCCCGCCGCCTCGGGAAGGGAAAGGCAAAGCGCTTTTTGCCTTTCCCTTCCCGGCTGGGGCTATTG